GACCAAGTTTGCCGATGACACCAAACTTTGGGGTAAAGCATCCACACCAGAAGACAGGCGGGTGATCCAGGCTGACCTGGACAGGTTCAGCAAATGGGCGGATGAGAACCTGATGGTGTTTAACACTGAAAAATGCAAGGTTCTCCACCTTGGGAGGAAAAACCTGTAGCATCCTTATAGGCTCGGCAGTGCTACACTGGCTAGCACTACGGAAGAAAGAGACTTGGGGGTCATCATTGACCACAAGATGAACATGAGCCTGCAATGCAATGCTGTGCTAGTAAAGCGACCAAAACGCTGGCTTGCATCCATAGATGCTTCTCAAGCAAATCCCGGGACATCATTCTCCCCTTGTACTTGGCCTTGGTGAGGCCGTAGCTGGAGTACTGCATCCAGTTTTGGGCTCCATAATTCAAAAAGGATGATCAGAGGTCAGGAAAACAGACCTTACAATGACAGGCTGAGAGCCATGGGGCTCTTTAGCCTGGAAGAGAGCGGGCTCAGGGGTGATCTGATGGCCACCTATAAGTTTATCAGGGGTAACCACCAGTTTCTGGGGGAACGTTTGTTCACCAGAGCGCCTCATTATGGCATGTCAATATAGGCCTCCAGATCATCTTCTCGCATCTTATTTGGCATTTTAAATGCTGTGACACAACCAATTCCGTTGTCGATCCATCATTTGCTGCTGGGTATCAAGGATCTGTGTCAGGGCCTGTCAATTCTGACCTAGCACATCCGGAGGGGCCATGGCCGTGGGTTGCATGTTGGGATGCTCCTTGTGCACCAAGCTTTCTGTTTGATTCCTAGCCAATGCACCACTTTGTACCCGCCTTGCTTTGAATACCCGTTCATGTGTTGCCCTAGCATGTGTGCCTGGTGGTGGGCACAGTGAAGGCTTGTGTGGCCACTGAGAGGGACCTCGACCACCCTGGAGAAAGCCCCTAAACTCATTTGCCATGACTCTGAATGTATTTCCAGTGGAGGGGTCTTCCTCTGTAGGTCCCTTGAGGTCGGTCACTCCTCCTGGTGGATATTCGTGGGGCTCCACCTCCTGTACACCCCATCCTGATGCCAGCCTCCAGCAGGCCACTTGATTTTAAGGCGCCCGTTTCTCCGGTGTAGATGACCTTCGGTTTTGATGCCCTCTTCGGGATTGGTTATTAAATTTTGTTTCTTTGATAGGCTACAGTCCTACTGGATATGCCCCTCTTGTCTCTCTTCCCTGTTGTCTATGGCCACTTGCTGAGCCTTGTGATCACTCTGGTGGTGTGGTATCGGTCAGATCCCCCTCAAGGCAGACCTAACCCCAGAGGCACTCAGACCAAAAAAAAAAATAAGAAAAAAGGACAGACCACAACAGCAACACAAGACCATATACAGACTAATAGTAACTAAGGAGAGAAAAGGATTCAATGAAAAGGATAAGAGGGCAGACAGAATAGATAGAGATCAGGATCAACTGCTGCTTCTCTCTTTCTGCCCTATGGCTTGAGCCAGATGGCATCCCCCAATGCTGCTCCGCTCTATGCCTTTGTTGGCATAGTATCTTCTGCCCTTCCCTGGGTCAGCCTCCCTCCATGGCTTGGTACCTGTGACAACCCAGAGTAGGAAGCTTCTGTCGTCTCCGGGTCTGTTATGCTCCTTCTGGAGTGAGGTCGTCCTCTGGATGCCGGTGCTGCTCATAACCAGTGTGGGGTTTATTCTCTGTTGCTTGGGGTGCCTCTCCCCAAGCGTAATCTGCCCCTTCGCACTGGGGCTGCTTGCTGCCTATGCAGAGAGCCTCCACTGCTGCTCTCTGGTCCGGATACTTTCTTTCAAGCCGGTGCTGCCTGTCACCAGCATGGAGAGCCTCCACAGCCTCTCCCGCTCTTCCCCGTTTCTCTTCCAGTGCTCCCTTTTATCTTTGCTGGACGGTGATTGCTCCTGACGTCACGTGCCAGCTCCAGTTGTATATAGGCACGGCTTGAGAACTGCGCGGGCTTTGTTCTTTGTTCCTTTGATGTCTGGTGTCTTGTGACCAGTAAGTGGTTTCTTTTCTCAGGGTTTTTTCCCTTGGGGTATGTAGCCCCCATCTCAGGGTCTTCAGCTCCCATGTGGCTATGTACCTGGGACAACTTTATTTAATTTTAATATTAATTTGTATTGCATGTAACAGTAGTGATGTAAGATGTTTATTACCAGAAAGCAATGTAAAGATTTAGAAAAAGAACTGCAGACCTGTCTCCTAGGAGGTGGAAGTTCATGGCAGAAACTTATTATAGCAGTTCCAGCAAACTACTACTTTTTTCAACTGTTTAATTTAACAAAACTTAAACAGAGCTTGATTCCTGAATCATTTTTTCACTCTTAGGGGTAATGCATGTAGGTCAAGGTCAATTAATGGAGGGTATATTACAGAAGCCTTGTATCACTATGCCTCTCCTACTGCAAGATGTGTATGATCATAGTATGAAAAATGAGAATATACCTTGGGAAGGGGACTTTATACAGTACTAATATACATGCTGCTTCTCCTGTTACGATGAACTACTCAACATAATTCTTCTTGCAGATTCAACGCCATCTTTCAAAACTATTTGACAACTTGGCTAAGATGAAATTTCAAGTGGACTCTGAGCAAAATCCAACCAAAACTGGTTTGGGAATGTATAGTAAAGAGGAGGAGTATGTTGGCTTCAGTGATCCATGTGACTGTAGTGGACAGGTGAGATGAAGGCACTCCATTTTCAATTATGAAAAATAGAAGTCCAACATATACTTTTTATCCCATTCTTTTATTCCTGCTTGACAAGGGCACAAGTCCAACATAGCCTGCATACATGTTGCTTAAAGTATGATAATGGGCAGAAAACATGTCTGTATAAAAATGACACTTCCTTGCTGCCCAGTGCTCCTCCTTGCTCTGTTTGTGTACTTTATGTCTATGTCTCTTCACATTAATGACCTCCATACATTTCTCGCTTCTCTTTTTGTTCATTCACTGCTGCAGAGGCAGGTAAAAATGGAATATACCTGAACTTAAAACCAGTTTTTATTTTTCAATTTCGTAGAAAAAACTGGAAAATCTGAGGGGAAAAAATTTTAAAAGCAATTTTAGTCTAAAATGAATTGACAATGCTTATATTGACCTCAGGGCATATCTTAACATAAAATGTGTGTTGAAATAAAGTAGGATATACATTTTAAAGTAGAATAGTTAATCCAAAGTTCCTTTCTGTGTGGACATACTTAGTTCTGAATAAACATGCCCTTTTCTGTTTAATTTAATTGAAGTGGATAAACCTAGCTTGGAAAAACACACTTTTATTTAGGAATAAAAGAATGCATACATGGATGTATTCCTTGGATGCCCAAGTCTCATTTGTAAGTCTCCACATAGACCTGAAAATGGGAAAATATTGGATCACATTGCTTCTCAACAGAGTTCATTCTACTTCATTTTGAAATTTAGCAAAGTCTTAATTGCCTCATGAGTGCTTTGTTTAATTCTGGATGGAATCCTGTGAGCCTGTGCTAAAGTTAAGGCACTAAACTCAGGTAAGTTACATGGTCTAAAAGGAGACTTTGGGGCATGTTTTTAACACTGCAATTAAAGAAAATTCATGTATTCTTATATCTCTGTTTATTGGAGGTGTCTAAGTAGAGCAAATATCTCTGGTGTTTAATACCTTCTCTAGGTTGAAGACTGGTTAAATCATGTGTTGGATAATATGAGGGCTACTGTGAGACATGAGATGACAGAAGCTGTGACTGCTTATGAAGAGAAACCAAGAGACCAGTGGCTCCTTGATTACCCAGCCCAGGTATCCTCTTTGACCAGCCCAGTAGGGAAAGCATCTTGTTGTGAGCTCTTCCTTTGCTCTCTATTAGTAAATCTGTTTTGTCAGTGAACAAGTAGAGAAGCTTTATGTGGTCCCTGCTCCTGGACTCTAGCTATGCTGTCCTAATGGATTGATTTCTCTTGATCTTAGTAAACTCCTGAATTGAAGCTTCAGATAAAACAGTCATTTGATTCTGCAAACCCAATGAGTGTTATAACCAGGTGCCTAATTCTGTTACGGGGCAGAGTGGGTGCAGAGCAGTGAGCTGCAAGCTACAAGGCTGCAAGCTGCAAACTTGCTAAGTATATAATGAAGAACCCCTGCCACAAAAGATAAGGGTAGTGGCTGCGGGGGGCAGAGCCAAAGGGGACTGTGAGCAGGGCTTCAGTACAGAGTAGGTAGTCTTGCCCAGGCAGGGGAACAGAGGCAAGCTTCTTGTAAAAGAGGGAGACTGGCAAAACCTAGGCCAAGCAGGCTGGGGTGGCGGGGGGGAGAGAGGCAGAGACACTGTGGCTTGGAGAGGAGAGACTCTGATGATAGGAAAGGAGGAAGTACACCCAGAAGGCTGAGGCCTGTTTATATTAACCTAGCGGGAGTCCAGAGGAGAGACTGCACCCAAAGCAGTGAGAACTGCTTATGTTAACCTGGGGGAGTCCTGAGGAGTGGATGTGCCCATAGAATTGGGGGGATTTGGGAGTGTTTATGTTGGCCCAGGACAGCAGGAGCTATCCAAGGGCTGCTTATGTTGACACAAGAGGGATTTGCTTTCTTTCCTTTTGTGCTCATTTGTTGGTAACACCCGGCAGACCAGAGTGGCTGTGAGGGGAGGTATGAAGGAGACCATGCAGCAGAGTGCGCAGCATCCTGTGATTAATTTTTTCCTTCCCCCCTGTGGTTTTTTTGTTTTGTTTGGGGGTTTTTTTGTTTGGGTTTTTTTTGGTTTACTAATTCCTCACCCTTTCTCTTGCGAGTCTTAGAGAGGAAGATAGGCAGCTAGATGCTTTGTCTAGGCAGAGGCACAGATGGGGGATGAGGCCCTGACTTATGCTAGGTGGACTACGATGCAACAGGGTTGGAGCCACAGCTAAGGCTACAGAGGGAATGTGGGGGAGTAAAGGTCATCCTTGCACTACTCAGGTTGGTATCCAGAAGAAGTTGGGAGGCAAGGCACCCTCGCCTAAACTCTGGTCACCTAGAGGCAGCCTCCTAAATATCGTTCTAACTATAACATCAAGGTGTGGTAGGCGAAAGAGAGAAGGGAGCCAGCTAATGAGGCCAAGGCAGGTAGACAGGTGCTATACAGCCACCAGTGGGTGACACAACCACCCCTGGAGGTGCACTTTGCTACAGCCAGATATAGGTGGCTCAATGATTAGCAGGGTGGGGAAAAGGCACTTAAGGTGTCGCTTGCGTAAAATGAGGGCTTCCTCCCAATCTTATAATAAGTAAGTTCGAAGGCATGGCAGATGAATATAGGGTAATGCCCTGTTAAAGTGAAGTGCCAAACAGGCCTGAGTCAACTGTCAGAGGGCCTTGGAAATTGAGG